CGTGCTGTACCACACATTGAATGTCCAGTATAAAACAGTTGTGCAGAAAGGAAGATTCTAAGATGAGTGATGATGGTGCTAGCGATTCTGTAAAATGTGTTATTTTTTATATTCTTTTGTTATATATATCATATTAGACGAATATCCTATAACAATCATGATATTGACAGATCAGTGCTATACTTTTATGTTTAGACTTATATGGACCTCAATTCTGTCTATCTTAGTGCATGGAAATACTCATAGGTCACAAAATCCAGAATTAGGTAAGAGAAGATTTGTTTTTTTACTCGCATACGTAGTCTCTTTTTATACTCTTTCTTGGGTACATGTACCCTCCATTTAAGTTTCAATTTTTGTGTGCTCTATAAGTTCTGTTTAATTAGATAATTATATATTACTTTGTATGAAATTATAAATTTTGAAAAAAAAAAATAAGAAATAAAATCTGACAAAACACAAAAATTACGAATTATTCCTTTTCAAAACTGTAACATTTTTGCTTACATATTTTGACATCAATAAACAATATTTTACTTATTATTGTGACATATTAGAATTAGTCATTACTCTTATGTTCACTTTTTCTTTAGAGAATCCTTAAAAATGTAAAAGTACATATCTTCAACTCATAGCTACACGATCAATTGAAGTTGTTTCTCATCACAGTTTGCAAGATATACGTCAATTTGGTTTCAAAACCTTTTTTTCTATGTCAAATATTTAAGTTGAAGGCAAACGGCAAAATAGAATAGAGGCAAATTTCATGTTTGAATGATATACTCTAAAATACAGAAATTAACCTCAAAAATAAAATGGCAAACGCAGAAATGAAAACCGTACCTGACATATATATTTTCCGATACTGTTAACTTCTTTTGAAATTTATATCCTTGACAGCAATTTTTTTATTTAGGCTTCAAATCCGAATAGATTTTATATATATATTTTTTTATTTATTTATTTATATATAAAAGCATGCCGAAAAAGTAATATTTCTGCTTACCTGTGAAGCAAACTAAATATATATAAAACGTTTTTTCCTTTTAAAATTTATGTAAGTTTTCACAACTTTTTTTTTTACAAAATATAAATTATTGTTTAGCTTTAACTTGAATATACGTTGTAAAAATTTAGAACATTTTTGTTTTCAAAGTCCGATATAATCATGAAATAAATTATTTTTGGTTGATTATTCTTTTCCATATATGAGTTTGTGAGACTGCTTACAATGTGCCAAACTATTTGCTTTCTGGGTCTTTTTTTCATTGGGGGGGGGGGAGAAATCAAATAAGAACAGAAACGTAAAGAGTCAAAAAAATTCTCCGTTTTCTAGCACCATAAAATTCTTATAAACTAAACACAATTTTGACCAATGAGGCATGCACAGTAGTTTTTTTTTTTATAATAAAAGCTTTTTCTAAAAAAAAATCTTTAGGTTAGATTAAAATACTATCAATTGCAAAGATTAAGATATATATTACTTTTGTACTTTAATGTGAATCTCCGAAATGGATGATCCTAAATACTAGGATCTTTGACAGGTCTTCCTGAACAGTCCTACCACCACGTAAAATGCCTCAGGGTCACACTAGATAGATTTTGTAATCTATATTTAACCGATCTTTGTCATAAGCATACAGAGATTTCAGTCAATGAATGAATGGAGAGTTCATAGGAAGCGATACCTGTCACTATCGTGTAATTGTCCTATTTCAACTAATGAGATCGACTTCCGTTTTTTTTTTTCTGTTGCTTCAAATCAAATCGTTTTTGTATATATTTAGCAATATTTAGATGAATATTCATTGAGATGAAGAGGTCTCTCTTGCAATACACTTTGACTGAAAAATTCATGTTATATCCTTTGATCTAAATTTACTGTCATACGATTTTTATGTAAGACATTGCCTGAAGCCAAGATACACTAAGCAACCGAGCACTGTTTTTGGTCGTTTCTTGCCTTAATCCTATAAAGTCTGCGTATGTCTTACAAATTCAGTGTCTGTGTACTTTTAGCCTCATTATAAGGATTTTAACAAGATTTTCAGAGCGGTTGCAAAGGTTATCACGTTTCCTCAAAGAACAGCTAGTTTGTCTTGTTTTTTTTTATTTTGAAGAACATTCACACCAAAAAGAAGAATGTACAAATAAATATATATATACAATAAATACACAAATTCAGAATTAAACATTTTATGTACCACAATTATCATATCTCTTAAAACTTAAAATTTATATTTTTTCAGTTTCAGTAGGGATTATAAAAATCAATTCATGTATTATTCTGATCGGGATGTCGGTTGCTATTCGAAACAAAAAGTACACTTTTTCCTTACTTAAAAATTTCCTGTTAAGAAGTTTTGATCATGAGCTTTTGAGCAGATTTTAGTCGGGACCTTTATTTCGAGCATTCTGCATCATATTTTAGCTCTTTAAATTTTGGAGTCTAGGTCGCCAATTAAACTATATCCAATTATAAAGCCACAATTTAATTTCATACAAAAAGCATGAAGCGAGGAACAAAATTTTGTGACAGAAGATTTTTTTTAGAAGAAAATGTTCTTTTTGTCAAGTTCAGAGTGTAAGACTGTTCAGTTTGGATTCCTATTTTTCAATGCAGGCTGTACAAAGAGTTATTTTGTGCAATGACATGTTCTATTTTGGTCCCGAATTATATATTGAATTAATTAATATGAGTTCTACAATATGTTGTGACAAAAATAGCAAAAATATATACAAATATATTGTGAAAGTCCACAGAAAAAATAGCCCCAATTTTATCTTAAAATTAACACTTTTTGGTAATACATAAAGATTTGTATGATAGACCCCCACTTTTAATTTTGTTTCTGAATATATAGGATAACTTTGAGCATTCTATTTAAATTAAGTAAAATGTTAAGTATTTAAAATAATTTTATTGGTGGTTAAATTTTTAATGCCAGAAAAATGACATTTTGTGAGTGCAGAAAGGTCAAATAATTGATTATGCGATGTAATTTGAAACTTTTTTGTTACGATTTTTAATGTCTTTATTCAAGAAAGAATAAGACTGTATTTGGTCCCATGATTTATTTGATTAAAACTTTTAGAGGAATAACTTCGAAAAAGTGATTTATGAGTAAGGCGCAATTACAGTGCAAAAAGGTCATGTCAATGCACTCTAGCTAAAAAAACCGTATTGAGCACGAACTTTTTTAATTGTTAAGATATCTGTGTAGATATTGAAAATATACTCGACAAAAATGTTCTAAGACTTTTGATAGAAGGATCCAACCTACCAAAATATGACAAACGTAAAAAAAAAAAAATGCAAATACAATGAACAAATCCAAATCAAAAATAATTAAATCAATTAGAAAGCACTTTCTGATGTACTAATCATAAAAAATATAAGTCCTGATCCCTACGATAGTTTAGTCAAGTTCTTTTTTTATTATTATAGATTTATTGTCCTCATATTTCTTTTCGTAAATATAGTCTCATGACCTACAAATGTTATGCTTATTATCGATTGATTACCACGTAATTTAAGCTAATAGAGAAAGCTCAATAAAACCCAAAGATTGAGTGAAAGGGGAAAATATTTGTTTGAAATGAAGTATTAAATCAAATATAACTCTTCTGGCAAAGATTTTTTTCACTTGCAGGGAGTGGAAATTGCGACTTAAGTGGACAAAATTGACAAGATATTTTTTTCCTTTCTATTAATAATCTAGTTTAGAATATTTGTTGAAATGTATATAGGTTATTTTCAATTTGATTTTGTATTTTGTTCTACATACAAATAGATAGAATTTTGACACTTTTACTGAAAAATAATTTGGTAATGTGTGAGGGAAAATGAAATTCTGGTATATCTTGCAAAATTGTGAAGAAAAGAAATTGGGATAAAGGTGTTCGGCTTCAGTTTATTGAGGTGTAGCATTTAGCTATTCTCCCATCCCTTTATTATATATATTTTGTAACATAACTAATATAATGACACAAAAAGTATTGGTATCTATGACTCTTATTAAAATGCAGGATAATAATACATTATAAAGAAGCATAACAGTCCAGTTCGGGTCTTGATATGAAAATCTGTATAGAATCAGAAAGCAACTTCAGCAAAATTAACAACGAATTCACTGTAATACCGACTCATTAGCTAGCAGCCAGTGGTGATATTCCACTGTCTAGAGGCATTACTAAAATCCTACACACACAAATTAAAAAAATGAAGTAAGAAAAATTTTGTACAAGATGAAGATTTAATTTTCTAGATTATGCAAATTATCGATCGGTTACAAAGAAATTACTGACTTTAATTGGTTACTTGCCTTCATTCTGTTCCCTCGACTTCTCCCTTTAGATATAGACATAAGTAGTCTCCCTTGCCCTCTCCTTTAACCAATAGTAGGCGGCTAATATGAAAATGTCACTGTCGCTGTGGGCAGAATATAGCACATTTCTGGGGATGAAAAAGACGGCCGATAATAAATCATAATTAAATTATTTTTTCTAGGTTTTACATAGTGCAAGACTAAATAAATAAGATCCTTGCATTAATGTGCCTGACCTTTAATCACTACAAAGATCAAAGGCTTAGTGTTACAAATGTTTCCATTGACATTTTATTCAAGTTGCAGTCATGATTAAGAGAAAAGCAACAACTTTAACCCTTTAATTCATTAATATATCATATTTATCAAAAGCTCGGTCATTACAGTAACGCTAATTAACTACGTAATTTATTAAACTCAGTCACTTTAGATCTGTTTTTAATTATTCAACATCTTATGTACTTTTTGTCTTGACTTATATACTTGTGCAGATTTTTAAAATGTACTTTTGATGGAAATTTCTGGAAGTCTTGATCGAGTTATTCTTCTTTTTGAATGACATATAGTCCAGTCCTGTTTTTAAGCTGTTTCTTTCTTCTCCAGGTAATGAATATTTTGATTCTCTCCGGAATAAAAGGCACGAATATTTAAAAAGCATACCTGTGTCCAATAGCAGAACAGTAGACAGAGATCACCTGAGGGGTTTATACAGCAGACTTAATGACCTACCAGAACTTATGAATAGAAGGTTCCAAGTGGGTTCCAAACCTCCACAAGTACCTGTTGATGCTTATAGTTTTGAGGTAAGACCTATATTCATACTTGTGCGAGGCCCTCTATGAAGTAGGAACAAGGATTTTAGTCTGTAATGTTTAATTTTGGAATGAATATTCCTGACCAATTAACTGATTAATCGTGCGAGACGGTGGTAATAAGGGATAATGGGTTACAAAATTAGCAATCGCTCTATTTACCAATAAAGATCCCTTAAGTATATTTCACTCGGAAGGTCAACGTACATTACCGCTACATTGCCAAAAATTTCAACTCATTACCGATATTTTTCTTCGAAATTTCGGGTGATTATTACCGCTACATTTTATTAATAAGATTATTGGAGATTACAACTCATTACTGCTACATATTCAATTAAATCAATCTGTACATGCATAAGTTGCTGGCTATCGAAGGATGCAATGTAGCGGTAATGAGTATGTAGCGGTAATGACAATTTTGAAAATCTAGCGGTAAAGATACGCACCCATTTCACCTCAAAGATATTTGATTTTTTTTATCACATAAACATAGAGTACATTCAGAATATTTATTACAGGAGATTTTACCAATAACCATCGATCGATTCTTATAATTTGTTTTTTTTTTACCTATCAGCTGTAATATTTTAGTAACGGTGTCAAACCATTACATTCTCTTTATTTTCTCTATAATTTAATTAATTTTACACAGTGGTTATTTTATGGAAGAAAAGCTTAAGTTAAACATTGTATTTTTGCTATCACGGAATTGGATTATTTGGAACCAAGTTCAGTATTAAGAAGATTCTTTGATAATTCAAATAAGTGCTATGTTTTGTTTAAACATATTTAATTAATAATTTTTGCAAAACTGCAATGCTGACTAATATTGCCAATTTATTCTTTGTAAGACATTTTGGAACAGCTACACGTCTGAATAAGAAATGGTTTTTCTAATATTCACTGTATTCTAATCATCAATGTGTAACTACAAGTTATGTTTTACAGAGAATTTTGTTTAATCACTCACGAATTATTTTGACGTCATGATAAGGATATAAAAACTATATTATAGAAATTTGTAAAACAGTTTGTACAGGCTTCATTATTGCTAAAATTCATCTTCAAAACAATTCTTATTCCACGTATAAGAATAGAGAGAACAAAATGCTTATAGCGTCAGATGAAGTGTGAAAACTCTTCTTATGTGATCATAAAACAATGAAAATTAATCATACTTGTATTTGAAATACATCAGTGTCTAGAAAACTAACGGACATTTAAGGTGAATTTAATTTTTTCATGTTCTTGCATTAAGGTCAGACAACATGTTTCTCAAATATCCGTTTTGTAGCTCTTGGTTATATATTAAAATATTAATATCATCATCTTGTGATTTCTAAAATGTTTTCAAAATGACTAAGAGAGAAATATCGCCAAAAAGTATGATATTGGTAATAATTGTGATTTAAAATAGGATTATGTAGGAAACACCGTCCTCTGGTATCTTGCACAAATGTCTGGTAAAGTGCCTCTTTTTGTGAGTAAAGTCGTTGAAGTAGCAATACTTTAATGACAAATTCTTGGTGGAAAATATACATGTATATATTATTGAGGAAAGTGTGGTCTGACCTTAAATTTAAGTAAAGTTATACAAGTGAAGTTTTGGGGAAGACTGCAAGAATACGGATGACTTTAAAAGAAAACTTTCTGATAAATAAGTGTTTTAGCATGTACAAACCTTAAACATATCTCTACAACAATTTTTAGTATATTAAGACCTTACATATATTGTTACAAAAAGTACATTGCAGTCATTAAACTATATAAATGTACGTATAAACTCTATAAGAAAGTCATCGTGAATTCAATTCCCGTCATTTTATTTTCATACTTATTTTCATTTTATCTTCATATTTTGTCTAAAGTAAATACGAAAATGATTACAAGAAATTTTATCTCAATAGCCTGTATTAGGTTACCATATCTAAAATTGGTTTCTATATATATGTATCAGGTTTAAGTAATAATCTCCGTAAAGTTCTGACCAAAATTTATTACTAAGAATGAAAAATAATAATTGAATGTTCTACTGTGTTTATAATTAGATGGTGTTTGTTTCCCCTAACACCTCATGCATATTATGGGTACTTCTGTGTTCACTTAGTGTATGCATTAGTTTTTTCAGTAGGACAAAGCTAGAAGAATAGAGACAAATATAACTGTCACAAATTTTGAGAGGATTTCACCCTTGTGAAGGCAACCCCCTTTTAGCGTAATCTGCAGCGTTTCTAGAAATTAGAAATTTAATGTTGGTCATTTAATGATTCTGGGAACATTATTACAAAAAATAAGTTATATGAATGATTCAAGACAGTATCATAATCAAAAAAAAAAAATATTCTATTTCAAAACATTTTTAGACTTCAGATTTGATACTGATAGTCAGGGGTTTTATTTAGAGACAATATACACTAGACAAAATTGCTAACGCACCACCTAAATAAATTAACTTTTTTTTCTTTTCAAAACTTGTTTATGATGTTTTTGATATATAATTATGTTACTTTAGTAAAAAATGAGACATTTAAATGCTTTAACTGATAAATAACAACAATGTTTACTGAAGCGTAACCACTTCATAGAAAAAATTAAAATCACATTCATACTTTTTTGGTGGAATTAATTTCTACTTTTTCTTTGTGGTTGTGTTCTTTATGTTTGCACTAATTAAAAACTCAGAAAAAAAGTTACACCGTATGCGGCGTTTGACTCTAGAAGAGCGTGCTAAGGCAGCAAGTATGGTGTCTGTAGGGGGCTCCTTTGAAAAAATTTGTAGAAAATTAAAAGAATTAAATGATTATGAATTTCTCTGGTGAAAAATTGTTGAAAATGAATTAACGATCATAAAAATGTTTACAATAGATATCGACGGCATTAAGTGAGCACGACACAATAATATTAAGATTGTTCCACAAAATTGGGGCAACCGGAAGTTGGGTGGATTTGGTAGGGACACCAAGGCACTGGATGACTACTAAGCGATATGGTAGTCAATCAGGGTATATCAATTGATTTTTAAGTGGGAGACTGCTCCCGTCGCAACGTCACGGACCACCATCGGTAATCACCAACTTCATATCTTGGCAAAAACGGTGCGCAGTGCACGTCGGGAAATTGGTTTTTGGACAAGAAGATCCTTTAAGGGTCTTGACATGACACCAAGACATTTGTCAATCCAACTGTTTTGGAAAAGAAGGCATATTTTATATACTAGTACCAATCAGGAAAATGATCAATTCACAAATAAGAATAATAAGTGGTGCGTTCGCAATTTTGTCTAGTGTACGGTTAGGTATCGTGAAAGTGTGATAATAGTGATACAAACCAATGACTGTTCCCGACGAAGTCGACAAAAAGGTTTTAATTTTAGATTCTTTACGTGAGACTTTATTACGAAAATATCTTCTTTTCATTTTGGTTATAGTACAGGGTGTTGGAGCGATTGGTAAACTGATATGAGGTATTTAAAGTTAGCTACTAGTAACTGGCTACGACAAGTGGGTAAACTTAGCTACTAGTAACCGGCTACTAGTAACTGACTTAAAATGAGAATAAAGCTAGCTACTAGTAACTAGCTACTACAAGTGGGTAAAGCTAGCTACTAGTAACTAGCTACTACAAGTGGGTAAAGCTGGCTACCAGTAACTAGCTACTACAAGTGGGTAAAGCTAGCTACTAGTAACTAGCTACTACAGATATGCATGTATATAAATCGGTTTCTGTTTGTATGAATTGTCATTTGACTACAAAAAAGCCACTTATCAAACTTTGACTAAGTAGACAATTTTGTCAATGTTTCATATACACACTGTAATAATTCACACAATCTTAAGTTGCATGGAGGTTAAGTTTTCTATTTTTAATTTAGATGGTTAACACATTTACACGTACAGTTGACTTCTTATTTTTTAAGATGTCCTTTAATTTTTGTTTAACAACATTTATATGGAAAATAAAAGCACTGAAGTGTACAGTACAGAACATAACTATAAAAATTAAAGCATCTCATTACATTATCATGAGATTGATCACTGTTCGTTATTTTCACATTTTACATCCTAACTCTACAAAATAAACAAATGTGAAGCATTTCATAATACAAAATATTTGCTGTATTCTAAACAAATCAAAACCTATGCGTACATGCATGCGGAACCATGTTTTCAGTAATGCATACAAAGTTTTCAGGACTATTCTTTTTTTTATTAATTTGGTGGCTAAAAATTTGTTCATGTTTGTTTTTATTTTATCTCTGGTAGAAACGTAACTCAGTAGACCTGCTCCGAGCCCAGCCAGTGTGTCCTTATAAAACAGAATGGCGGCTAATACATCGCGCGAAGAACATCAACGATACGGAAGTGATAGTTTTCCAGCCTGAGATTGAAAGTGATGGCTTCCAGTGGTTCTATACAGCTACGTGTGATAGGGCTGCTTCATATCTCTATGATTCTTCTTGCCCAACGTGTTGTAGGGGTATAGACACGACTAGGTGAGTACTATTAATTCCTTTTACTTATACATAGAACAAAATAGTTGTATGTGTCTTTTACACACAAATCAAAAATATACTTTCACAAGTCCAGGTGATGTTTATTGAAATCTCTAATTTTTGTGAAGGTTTAATTTCGATGTTTTCGTGATATGAAGAGACTCAGAGTTCTTCTCTTCCATGAAAGCTTTCTTCAAACTAAAGTTTCATATTCCTTTTTAAACCATGAAATCAAATCCCCACTTATCTATATTAATTTCTTCAATTTACGAGAATTTGACCCCAGAAAAATATGTGATTTTACAGTATATTATATTACTCATGAATGATTGAGATAAATGACACATGGTGATAAGGAAAAATACGTTTAAACCTACGTGAATTAAGTCCTCAGACAATAAAACGTCATGAATAATGGATTTTCGTTTTGTTTTGGTAGATATGTGTCTACCTGTGTCCCTAAGAAGTCCTATATTATGGCGTACGCCCGTCAGGCGCAGGAATTGAACTATGACTGGACCTGGATACAGATTGACACCGGATGTAGCTGCGCCATATCAAGTATACCGGGAGTATGAAACCCAGAATCAAGTTTTTGTGTCAACAGTTGTGTACCGTAATTTAACTACTTCCAAGGAAACAAAATTCATCATAGCCAATCACAGAAGAAGAAAAAAAACTTTTGTAAAAGTTTTCTCATTGAAAGATAATCATAAAGCGAAACCAATCGGACGATTACTTGTTTAACAATACTATATATGGTTAATTTTATGAATTCTACATTTCAATGATTTATTTTAACATGGCAAAAGAAAACCTAATGATTAAGGAGGCAAAGAACATTTCTTTAAACAACATTAGGAAAATTTGTTTTGACTATGAATAATTCAATTATATGTACAATTATATAGTCTTTTTTATCTAAAAGTAAAAGTATTTTTAAAAAAATATGGTTTTATACAAAAAATTAAAGGCTTTTGGAGATTTTATTTTCTGCTGATTTTATAATCCTATAATGCAAATAGTATTGATCTATGACATAATTTCTCCAACGTTCTGCCGTCAATGGAATGTGAAAAGTAATTGGTAAACTGTCCAGTAAAGCCAAAATGTGCATTCTTCTTGCATAAAAGTTAAAAGGGACTAAATGTAAAGGTGTCATTCATGGAGGGCTTTTGGGGTCAGTGATGTTATTTTAGATGCAATACCAATTTATTTTTCAGGATTGTTGTAATATAACCAATATAAATGCTGATATCATTTTATTGTAGCTATCAGAACTACGTATTAGCTAATATCTGATGTCTCTCGGATAGCATTCAGTGCGGTAGTAACATACTTCTACTTAAGCACTGAATTCTTATTTTTGGATGTCGCCGGTCCTATAACACACCTGGCCGACAAATTGAATGCCGCGTTAGCGAGGTATGATAATTTGTCGGCACGGCCAGGTGTGTTATAGGACCGACGACATCCAAAAATAAGAATTCAATGCTTATATATTTTCATTCTCTAATTTTCTCTCTTCATAATTGTTTATTTCGTTAATCTTTATTATGAATGTAGCACCTTTTAAGAGTTGTTTGTGACGTTGGAAAGTTAAATAACGCAAATGAACATTGCGAGAGAAAAAAATGACAAACTGATTTTAAACGCACAGTTGTTATATTTTACGTTAATTTGACAGGGTAGTTGTTTTTTTTTTAAATTAAATTGAGTCAAAACAATATACATTCTGGTATTCCTAGAGTATTGAAAATGCATATAGTTCCTACTGTGTATTCTACTGCGTGGTGACAAGGTTTCGCGTGTGTTATAGAGATTTGAACGTCGTAGGTTTGTAATGGATTTCATAAAGAAAATTACACTGAATGTAAATATTTTCAGATGATTCGGTTCGCATTCACATTAAGTTCTGTCAAAAGTAACAACTGCTTCGAACTTCATAATACGTACGGCAGTAGTACACATATTCAAGCAAATACAACCTATCCTTAAGTCGAATATACGTTTTTCATACAGATTGCCAGGCTATAATTTTTACACTGATTTTTTTACGGATTTTTCCGTTTGCCCAATCATGACAAGGAGCACACAGAGGATGTGACCCGTCGACAGGTGATGTTTATTCCTCCATGGCACCTGATCTCAACTGAAATGTTTTAAGAGGTCTGTTTTTGCACTTCCCTAAATCTGTATTTTCCTAAGCACTTTTGAGCTTGATTACTGTACGTATCTTCATATTTCATTTTGCTGAATCGCACTACGTCCTTTTACTTACACTGATGTAAATTGTGGCTTTTCTTCTCCATTTTATTGTTCTGAATGACATCATGCCCACTTGTTTTTTATAAAACTTAATTTACTCTTACCTGATAAGATTTACACCGATAAGATATTTATAATTCACCATCACGTGATTTAGTTTGGTTGAATTTAAACACATTACGATAGCAATGGTCTACAATGGTCTCTACATTCAAATGTTTCAATTACTATATATTCTTCATCCTAAATTTTATAGCTATAGTTATTACTTAATTTCAATCTTGCATATTTCAGTTCTTATACTTTTCTTATTTTTAAATGTTGTAGCTACATTTTATTTCAGTCTTACATGTTCCAGCTATAATTTCATTTTCACATATTGTAGCTATATTGATTTCACTCTCACATGTTACACTCACAAACTATCCAAAACTCGTGATTAAGTTCCATGTGAATTTATTCTTGATGTTACAGCTTAGGATAATCTTACTTTCACATTGTAGATTACAATAAAGTATCTTAGTTCAATAGTTAAAATCAACATTACAAATATATAAAACAGCTGAAATTTTAAAAAATGAAATTCACACAATTGATTACGTTACCATACAATTAAATTTATATATCAAAAAGAAAAGTGTTAGTGATATTATTATTATTTTTTACATTTTAATTATTCGTATCTCACACATACCTTTATACATAATATATTTTACACAAGCATGTAACCATTAATGAACTTAAAATGATATACGTACAAAGCCCTTTATTACAATATTTTCATTAATACTATCGATTTTGCTCTCACATCTATAAGACAATAGTATTTCTTGTGTTTCTGCCTTAAAACAATAATTTACGCCAAAAGGACTTTGGTGAAAAGTTCTATTTTAATTTGATACGATTTTTTTTGCTCACTAAACCCCTTATAAAAATTAGCAGCTTTTTAACAAAATGCTCAAACATGCCTTCACTGTCGAGCACAAGATCCGTTTCAAGGAAAGGAGACAAGTTTATTTTTTTTTCTATTTAAAAATCTTCCGTATTTACGGCAATTAAATTCATTCGAAATAATTTTAGTCAAGATTGGTAGTTCTATGACTTTAGATTTTCCATCGTCAACTTTCCTTGTTTGTGTACTAATATTCCGTAATCACCTGCATATGGGGGTATAGTCTCACAACTAATTCGATACTGAAGAGCATACTTAAGGACCCTCTATACACCAGTGCAAAATGTTTCTTGGACAATTAGAAAATTATAGCCTATAAAGGTGTAAATACTGAGCTTATTTATTTAATTTTCAATATATGGTACGTGCCATTTACTCACAGGAAAAATGTTCAAAGACAACAAGGTATCAATGAACAGAAATCACTGTTGATTTCTTCTGTGAAGAGAAAATACATGCAAATAAAGTGTTCAATTCATTTATCTTGGTCTTTTAATATGTGAAGAATGCTTGAATTGATTACAGATTGTGTAATACATAGTAAATTTCAATTTATTTAAGTTTAGATCTAAGGGCAGATCACTTCAATTACAGAAAAATACCACTGAATCAGGACTCTTTAGTGTGCAGTGTAGAGAGGGTTCTTAATTTGACTAAAGGAATGTTCCGTCTACCTGATCAATACATAGGGCTCACTGCAAATGTGACCGGTCATTAGAGGATACTTACTCCTCCTAGGCACCTGATCCCAAATCTGGAATTTCCAGGGGTCCGTGTTTATGCACTGTTCACAGATTTGTATTGTTTGTAGATTTTTAAGATCGATTATTATTAGCTCACTCCTCCATGGCACCCCATACCACCTCTGATGTTTTAGAGGTCCTTGTTTGCTCTGCTTCAAAATTTGTATTGTTTAATAGACTTTTGAGTTTGAATACTGTTCGTTATCTCCATACATTTCACTTCACCTTTTACATTGGTAATAAAGGTCAAATTAGCGTAAGCTTTCTCTCTTTGAAAGCACGGTAGATCTGAATTGATGACGTTACTGTTCTCACACGTTAATATTACTGTATTATATCGTGCAGTTACAATTATTGACATTGTGAGAAACGTTACAGCTCCCAGCTTGGATTTGAAGTACAACCACTGTGTAGGTTATTACCGTTCCAAATATCTGTAAAGGAAAAAAATAAAACAGCACTAAATTGTCTATCAGAACTCTACTCAAAAAGAACAATGAAGAAATTTGTTTGGAGAAATTCTTCTTTTTTTTCAATTTGTCCTGGCTTCATAGATGTTTAATATGATGCAAGCACATTGAAAATGATAAACAGCCATATCTTATATACTGGTACTGATATCCTATAAGCACATCATGACAGCATTTAAATCTGAAATCTGTTTTTGCAAACCACCTAGTCTTAGTTTTACAGTTACAAAAGTTTACCATGAGAAATGTTGAACCATCCATGGTGAACAAACCGTAAACGTTAATTCCTATTGTCTGGCTCGTCAGCTGAGAAATAAACACCTGTAACTACAAAATTAATCAAGTTTATTGAACCTAGCCACATCTCAGCTTCATAAGTGTAAGCTTTGTCTCAAACATTACTTTGTGTTGTTAGTTTTCCTATTGATAAAGATAATATATTTGTAATATTAGAGTCAATGGAAACAAGTATAAAATATATCTAAATTATGGTTTCGAAATATATTTATTCTTTCTAGGTTTATTTAATGTTAGCAATTTTATACCTCAACGTTTTATAAATTTAAATCTTGCTCAAAGCTTACATACAGTATCTTAATTTCTTCATGCATATCATATTATGAAATTTTCAAAAGTGCAATTCTATAATCTGTTCAATGAATATATTAAAAAAGTGATATTTTTGTAGTGGTATTTTTCACTGTGAAAAATATCAAAAGTGATATTTTTCACTGTGAAATATCAAAAGAGATATCTATTACTGTGAAAATATCAGAAGTGCGGCAAAACTCGAAATTTTTGTTCCCTTCTCCGAAAAGTTGTTGTTAATATCCATGTTTACAATTTTCAATCTCACAATCGCTTCGCCAAATTGAAGAAAAATTAATCTCGAAAGCACAGAGAAATTCACATTATAAAGATACTCAATATGTGCTTTCTATATTAATATTTCTTCACTTAGGGCAACTATATTAGACTAAGAATTATTGCCAATTAATTGTGCTTTAAAATAATATTAATTTCATATGTGTATCGGTAACGATCCTCTAATAAAACTAATGTCCAAATACAATGTAAGAGAATCTCGCTTCCATTCTCAATGATTGTGTGGTGTAGGGAGACGCCGCGAGATTTCCATTGGCAACGAAAGCGGGGCGGGAGTGGGTATCCTTATTATGTAAAACTATATATATTCATTTGTACGCATGAAATCCTTAAAATGTACTGGCTTGTAATTTCGGTCTTCAAATACAGAACATTGAATTATCTTCTATATATTACCATTAATCCTTGATAATTATTATTTAAGAAATAAAATCCTAAAACGCCCAAAGGGCGATATAGTAGATTTGATCAAGAAACAACTTTATTATTATTATTTACACACTGAATTGTCTCCGTTTGCCTGATAATGACAAGGAGCACACGGCGGGTATAACCGGTCGACTATTCCATATTTCATACTTTTATTATGTCGCCCCGAAATTGCACAACTATCATAAAATATATTAAAACCACAATTTTTGACATTCCTTATAGTGTATGCAGAAAGTATGTTTTTGATAAGTGTCGTTTTACTCTGATAATTTTTGTTCTTGAGTAATGCTTTATTTTCACACGCAGTTTTCAAATAAAATTCTGTTAACTAATTAATGTAAAGTCAAAAAAATTATTGTACATGTTTGCTACCCTACCCCTTACACATACCCGCGCGTGCCTCACCCAGAATAACAACAACATAAAATATTTTTCTTAACCCGAAATCAACCTCTGATCGACTTTAAATCTACTTAAGACCCAAAATAAATTTTCATGAAAATGTGATTGCCTTTGACTCAATTAGTAAATCGCCGATGAGTGTACTGATGAACAGAGATATAAAATTTACTTTTTGTAAATCAAGTTTCCTTAATATATGAGTTTATATTCCGCTGCTGTGATGCTTTTTCTGTTGCGTGTGTGTAAATCATCTTATTTACGATTACTTCATCTTAATATAAACCACTTGTATTAGTTAAATTATTTCCGGTATCAGTAGTGACTAAAAACTAGCGATATTATTTCTTCAATACAATCCAATTCTCCGGATATGTTAGTGTTAGTTACATGTATAAACATCTGTGTTCTGATGTATTTCATGTTCATCAATCAGAAATAAAACAAAAGAGAGGTTTTTAAGGAAATCAAAATTTTTATTTATCACCAATCCTGCCTGTCAAAACTATTATCTCCGCACAACAAATCCTCCACAATCCAAGAGTCGGTAGTCCAATCCCAGCAACTGGACCATGTGTTTTTAAAAACTTCTTTAAAAACAACAACAACAACAACAACAGATAATACACTTTTAGACAAATTCTATAAAGCCAGTTAGGGGCGACGTACGCTATTGCTTGCAACTTTCTAGTTTATATTTATATTTTTATTCGTGTTACAATGAAAAAAAAATGCACTATTTGGACTTTGTTATGGAAATGCAACATAACATACATATACGACGTCATGTGTATGTTACGTTGCATTTCCATAACAAAGTCCAAATACGACGTCATGTGTGGCACAGTGGTTAGAGCGTCTGCTCTAGAGTCGCGAAGTAAGGACTTGATACTTACGTCGCGGGTTCGAATCCCACTGTGGGACGTGGAGACCGGTCCTTCGGATGAGACCGTATAAACCGAGGTCCCGTGTCACAGTAGGTGCTGGCACGAAAAAGATCCCTCACTGCTCAATGGCCGTAAGTGCCGAGTATAGGACAAAATTTGCAGCTCTCCATCGGCAAGTGATGGCGTCTCCATATGAGTGAAAAATTTTCGAGAGGGACGTTAAAGAAGATACAAACAAAAAAAAAAAAACGACGTCATGTGACATTAAAGTCTAGACCTTCCAAATGTTTCGTGCGGTTTGCTTTCTATATTCAAGAAAGTCTGATCACGTTACCAACTTCGTTTCATCGAAAATTGAATGCCAAATTGTTAGTATTGTCATATAAGGAAAGGCATCGGCAAATATAAATACACATAATTAACGTCTTTTCAAGAGAAGCTTAAGCTGCTAAATTTAGGCTACATGTATATATTGTAATGTTTGTATGAGAATATGCATTTTAATCTATAGTTTTGTATAAAAGGACAGAATGATACATTTATTTCTATACTCTTTTAATAGTTCTTCTTTAAAAGATTGATAAAAACAAATGCATACCTGGTGCTGTGCATCTATTGACAAATTCTCAAGACTGAAGGCAAAAAGACTCCTTAAAGCACTGTGCGCCTAAATAAAACAAAACAATAAATCATATTGAGCACTTGATATTTCAAAATACAATACTCGAACACGTTAATATTTTGATGACAAATCATTTTGATCAGGACTGCAGTTAGAACTAGAAAACTGAAAAGGCCCCGCTAGAGGCTGTTAAAGGAAAGTCACAAATGCATTTAGTAGAAATATATTCAGGCATGCGTGTATGTATAGAAAAGTGATTTGACCCTGAGTTTTTTACAGCCTTTCTCTTACAGTAAAGTTATTCTGTGTAAAATTTGAAAAAAATGAAAATGTTTCTCTGAAAACTGAGTACCAGCATCATAACAAAAGTATCAAGGATAAACATTCAGACACATATACAGACAGACAAAGTGATATGACCCCATTTATTGTAAAGTAGTTGACGAGCAAATACTTTGGATTATGTTTTCTTCTTTTTATCTTTCTGCAAGAATTTTATAATCAAGATAAAAGACTATACAAAAAGATAGATATACGTTTGCCATACACTAATTAGGGTAATGTGCGATAATTCTATTGCATTGCTATAGCGTATTCCAGTTTTCTGGCTTTGAGAAATATTGAAGCAAAAGGTGTTTAATATTCTGGATTATTATCATTGGTCATTTGCAAAATTATTTTGTTAAAAAACATTCTGATTGTACACACAAGTACTCTGAAGTTGATATTAAAAGATGCTTGAGTTTCTGATAGACAATATCTATGTGGTTTTTGGAGACCAGGTCTTCCAACAATGTACTGGAATACCATTGGGTACCAATTGCGCCCCGTTATTAGCAGCCCTATTTTTGTATTCATATGAAGCAGAATTTGTTCAAAATCTTGTACGTGAAAAGAAGAAAACGCTTGCTGTGGCCTTCAATTCGACATTTAGATATTTCGACGATGTATTGTCAATTAACAATGGTTATTTACATTCGTATAAAATTCAGTGAACATAAAGCGTCTGTCAAAACTATAATCTCACCGCTTTTTAGTATAATAATAGACTATAATATACTGTGACGGGTTAAGAATATACAAAATAAAATTGAGTCAAAAACTAAGTATCACTTAATATGTTTTTTTTATTATAGACTTATACAAAATTAATATAGTGCAATTCAGCAAACGGATTTTTTTTTCCATTTAGTGTTATTTAAAATAAGAAAAATATTATTTTGAAATACTTGTAACAGTTTACACAATTTTAAAGGTCCGGAGTCATTTGTTAAAATTGTTGTAATTGATGAAAGTTACCTCAGAATTAATTTTCGCCCCCAGTGCTGTCACTAGATTCATTCCTACCAATTGCATAACAAATATAAAGACAAGGATCATGACGTCAACGCCCCCAAGTGTACTGTGTACAATGCCGTAGACACCGAAACAGATACTCGGAATCGTCAGCATATAGTTCAGAAGAACGTTAGGTTGAAAAACGCTGTTTGTTGCTTGAAGTAACTCGGTTACCTCGTGGTGTTTTTGCTTTAGTCTTCCAAGCTCTAGAGCAGACATATTAACTTTTTCTCTAGCATTGTCAATTTTTCTAGTAACTTCTTGGAACTCATTGATGATTATATACGAAAAAACAAATACAACCGTCGTTTGGGCATCAAGGAGAAGAGTCCAATGCAAGCAGGCAACTGTGTCTATCACATTTACCAAATCAAAAATATATCCATCCTTATAGTGGAAAGGAAGCAGACGACTGATAAAAAGTCCAGATTCTTCTAGAACACGAGAACTTGTTAAGGCAGCTTCAAATATTCCAAGTATTATTACAAATATGATCATAACCACAAATGTTACCGTAGTCACGCTTTTCATTTTTCTGCCATTTGCCACAAAGCCATGTTTTATTTGAAATCTCCAAAATTTTGATAGGATTCCGGGTAGATTTCTTGTAAATGCAACAATGAAGACTGGAAACATTATAGTGTTGCTGAAGTATGCAACTGCAAAAACAATGCGACCCATCAATTTGTCAGAAAACTCATCATCGATTGCAAAGCCAGCTAATATTCTGGTGCCGCCAGAAACCAAAATTAGCATGTAAAACACGTTCAAAATTATTTTTCCGGCTATCTTGTGTTTACTGTCATGAGTTTCAATGTAATATCCACCCACTTTCAGCAACAAGATAGGATAATGTAGAACTTGTTCCAGTATTCCGGCACTGTTTCTTCCTTTTTCTACTGACACGGATGAAACAACTTGGCCGGTCATCCTGTATCAAGAGACTGACCTAATGAAATAATGATGGACAACAACTAACCGAGACATACATCACGATATTTATCATTAATCACCATGGAAATCAGTCTGTTATCGCATCAAATTTGATCTGCATAGCTATATTAAAAACAAATACTTTCATGTCCCTAATGGGTGCAATAAAATAGTTTGACTATGTAAATATTGTACAGTAGCGACAATAACTTAAAACTGTTTGCATTACAAGCATTGTGCAATCTTGCCGATAATCGATTGGGATATGCCGTGTGGTCGAGTCTGATTGAATAAAAGTTTTTGCACAGAAACGTATATTAATTGATTGGCACGTATTGTAATACCTTAATTGATTAAGCAATCCAAATGAATTACCAGTAACCTACTAAAATAGAATCAACTTGGAAAAAGACTCAGAAACTCGGAAAAAGATCATTACGCCAGTTGATAGGTTAAAATTATACAGTTTACGAAGAATTTAAAAGATCCAATAAAGGTCCAGGTGTTTCATATGAAACTACACTGCGAAATGACATTTCTTGGTTTGGGGTTAAACCTGTGATTTTAGAACCTGTTCATGTCAAATGAAATAGCCTGTGCATGTCTTCGTTGTAAATTGAATCTACAAGCCTTAGATTTACATAATCCAATACTCTGCCTAAATATATTAATACGCAATATGCATTCAAAATTACAATGGGGAAGTTGCATGTAGGATTTGAACCAATAATAAACCACCTTACAAATAAAGTTTCATATTGTACAATTGCTTAATGACAATTAATATTGTTTCATCAAGATTGGAATGGAAAGAATAAAAATAAATAGGGGAAGGAAAATTACGAAAAATACGGAGTTAAGTGCTCCATGAGTTTTTACCAGTCTCAGAATGTTATTATTACAATTGGGGGGTTTTTTCCCTCTCAGATATGACATAATTACAGTAAATACACTTTTACTCGTAACTGTGAAGAGGAGAGCTCCGTTACAGCTCCCCTTCTGTATATTGAGAACAGTTAGGGTGTATACGTAATTATGAATTTTCCAAATTGATAAATAAAAAAAGGAAAAATATACTGCACATTGTGGAGTGGATTTTGATATTCTTAGAAAAAGTGAAGTAAAGTGTTTGTTGTGGAGAATTGAAATAATAACATAAGTTTTCAATTTCATAATTATATTTCATCGTTCATGCATTCAAAACACAATGTTATATCAACAAATAAAGAAAGAAAGAGGCTGCGTTTAATCCTTATCTGGGATTATTTTTCTACAAGACTTCAAGAAGTTAGCTACAAATTGCAGATGAATCTGAATGGAAAGGCGTGTCCAGGAGAGGTGGAAATTAATAATGTTTAGAAGTAGATCTGGTAAAACTTGCGGTAATTATACGTTCATACTAAAAGATTTTACAGATTAGTGACTGTCTTCCTTAGTAAACACTTTTTAGAATTACTATTGTAGAACATTACGCTTTGTCTCCATATTTTCTGAACAGTGAAAAAGGTGAAGATAACGAACAGCTAGTAATCGTTCTCAGATATTCTACAAGCGATACAGATCTGTGAACAGGGCATAAAACAAGACCCCCAAAAATCTAGGGGTAGGATCAGCCCCCAGGATTACGAAGCAGTCTTTGTCTTAAGTCAAAATTTCAGTCATTCATACAAAGACTATTTATTAGAAAATGATTCTTGAAAATTAAAGTTAACATTGTGAAAGGGAAACAAACTTTAATAACATTTCAAATTAGATATAGTTTCTATGGTAAAAATTTTACACAAGTGACAAATTTTTGACTTAAGTCTAAGACTGATTCATGATCCTGAGGCCAGGTGCTTAACAATTGGTACTAAAACAACTCAGCAAAAAAGACCCAATGATAGGTTATAATTGTTAACAAGGTCATTATACGACCATAGAATTTACGAAATGCTGACTTTAATTAAACGAGGTTGTTGAAATACCTGTAACATCAACTTATCTGTCAATAACCTGTCTCGATTTAAAACTTGATCGTACTCATAGAATGCTCTTGAGTATCGTATAAGTTGGGAGATATAAATACCATATGCAGGTGATAGCGGAATATAACTACATAAATAAGGGAAGTTGACGACTGTGACTAGTTTCACGGTGCTTGTACACTTTTGTCATCTGTCCTTTTAACTGAACGATTTGACTAAAAGTGCATTATTTACATAATCCCTCTATTTTTGTTAAAATAGTGTAAATATTTCAATTTCAAAATACATCATATTCTATCATTTTCTAAAACTATGATTGAGGAAACGTAGAAAGTTTATTACTCTTTAATGAAGTTGTAATCTTAATTAAATGGTCATAACTTTGAATTTAAGAAAGTTAAAAGATTTTCAAAAGCATCATAAAATACATAATTGCTCACTGCTGAATACATTGCTTACTTTAAAAGAATATCATGAAATTACCTGAGAATCAATTTTTGACCGGAGTATGGTTATCCAAATTAGCCCCAAGAAATGCGAGCTTATTCTCCAAGTTAAGCAGAGAATATTTGACACAACAAAACTGTTGTTCAATAGTCCATAAAGTATAATAGAAGTATATATACATATAATCAGAGACTTTACAGCAAAATACAAGCGTAGTAGAATATTGCCGTTTCTAAGCAGATCTGCAACATCGTTTTGCTGTTTCCGTAGTCTTTCGAGTTTACTAGCGGTTATGTTGCCTTCCTCTTCAATGATCTTTATTTTTTCGTCTACGCTTTGAAGTTCTTTCAGAATAAAAAAAGAGACAATGGAAATAACAAGGAACATTGACACAGATATGACAGTGGTGTAAATATGCAAAACCGAGTTAGTACAATGGTGTAAAGATTGGAAAAGAGAGGGAAAGTTTCGAATGTCATAAAGAACCAATGAATTCCTGGTTGTGCAAACAAGCTGACCTGGTAAAAGTTCGGTCAACAAAAGTGCTGTAAATGTCATGAAAAAGACCTTTTTAGTTGGTGAAGTAGCATATCCATATTTTCCCTGAAATGTTGTAAATACAGATAATAGTCTTGACAACTTCATGGAAATGGTGAGCAATAGAAATGGAAATAGGGTCATTTCACAATATCCAGCACACAAAATCTCTTGAATGAAATTCTTGTCCAGAATGTATTTACTCTGCTCAGAGCTACCAAATGTTCTCGCTACGTGTACAAAAATAGACAAGATGACAGACAAAGAATAAAGTAACTTAACAACAAACACTGGTTTCCACATGACGATGTTATCTTTGAACTCAAACTCAATGTAGACACCACAACATTTTAGTATCGTTAAAGGAAGATATAAAATCTCCTTTAAAGAATCTTTTAAAGAATTTATGGATACGGTCGAAACTTCATCCGTCCCCTCCATGATTGTAAATTTTCTAGGAATACAACAAAGTAATGATGCCCTTATATTGAAGATACAATAATTTCAAAATTATTGGAAATGTTTTGCCAATGCAGTTTTATTAATTTGTGCAAATAGATGAGCACAAAACGAATACTGATTTCCCAAGACATTGCACAAGCTGCAATTTCAACTGCATGTTCAAACTATCAACTGTATTAGAGTTTGCTCTAGTGAAATATAAAATGCTATAAAATACAATCTTATAATGAAAAAAATGATTATATAAAATCATTATATATGGACTTTAAAATGTTTCTCGATATTGTAGGAATAGGATACACAAAAGCAACGATAAGAGCGAAAAACTTATCCTAATTGTAATTCCATTAAGAAAATCAAAAAAAGAGCTAGGACTATATATTAAAATAACCATTACGCACTATTAGAAATCTCTAAATATAGACACATCTTTATTTACAAGACGGGAAATGCATTATAAAGACCTGTAGATTGAGTTTATTCGATTTATTAATACTGTGTAGGTGCTAATGCCCTGTATGAGTAAGAAGCTAGCAAAGAACAATATAAAGTTCATCATATAATGCAGCTTGAACAGAATTATTTAAATGGGTTTTTTTTTTCAATAAATAAAACTGTTCCCCATAACAATATGGTAGAAGCTTCATCCACTTGAGTCAATTTTATGGTTTTTATCTGGGTCAGAATGTATTAGACAGTAACAAATGAACCAAAATATTTCTCTTCTTTTTTAAATCAATTTTTAAAATGCTTCTTTAACACAAAAATTAGAAATGACAGTTTCCATTTTGTTATGAAAAAAGAACCCATGTATGTACCAGCTATTTCAGGATTCAAACCCATTAACAGGTACAAATGCGGTTAACTTGCTTTGTTACCTTTTATTTCGGTTAAGTTTCCCTGTCAATATTGGGAAAGACATTATTTTGTTATGTTTTGTAGATTTTACAGATTTATTATTTTTGCATTCTTATGCAGCATGGTGTTTTATGTTTTGATTCAGAATCTTGGTACATTCAAATAATGCCCTGAAATGAATCTTTGTTGGGAATCAATAAGTCAGATAGGCAAAAAAAAAAATAAGTTCAAAACTGAACAATGCAAATGACATGCCTTGTAATTATTTGGTAGTTTACAAAATAAAGCTTTATTAGATTCTGTAAGTCATTACCTTTGAATTAATTTTCGCACCCATTGCTGTCACTAAATTCATTCCAAATAATTGTATTACAAATATGAAGACGAGAATCATGACGTCAGCAATACCAAGGCTACTGTAGACAATCCCATAGACACAGAAGCAGATGCTTGGAATTGTAATCATGTAGTTCAGAAGAACATATGGTTGTATGACACTGTTTGCTGTTTGAAGCAGCTCTGTTACCTCGAAGTGTTTTTGCCTTAGACTTTGAAGGTTTAGGGCAGAAACCTCAATATCTTCCCTGGCTATGTCAAGCTCTCTGGCCACTTCTTGAAACTCCTTGATGATTATGTGCGAAAGAACAAAAACAAGTATTGTTTTCGAGTCCAAGAGAAGAGACCAATGTATGGTAGCAAGTGATTCGATCACGCACGCCAAATCGAAAATATACCCATCCTTGTAGCGGAATGGAAGCAGACGGGTGATGAAAAGTCCAGATTCGTCTACAATGCGAGAATTTGTTATAACAATCACACAAACTCCAGTTATTATAACAGAAACAGCCATCACTGCAAACGTTCTGGTGACCATTGTTTTCAATTTTCTAATATCTGCTGCAAAGCCATGTTCTGATTGATACTTTGAAAATTTGAAGAGAATTTCGGGTAAATTTCTTGAAATGGAGAACATGAAAGCGGGAAACATTAAGGTGGTGCAAATGTACGCAACTGCAAACACTATTCGGCCCATTAGTTTGTCAGAAAACCCGCCAAAGATAATAAAACCAGCTATAATTCTTGTGACAACAGAGAGCAAGACCAACATGTATATCACATTCAAAATAATTTTTCCCGCCATCGTCCGTCGATCTTTATGGAAGTCAATGTAATACCCGCCGATTTTCAGCATCAATATAGGATATTTTAAAATCTCTTTCATGTTTGGAGAACTTTTTCTTTCGTTTTCTGTTGGTACCGATGAGACTACTTGAATACGAGGCATAATGTATCTACAACTGAACATGTAAAAACAGCGGAACAGGAATAACTTTACGAGAGATTCAGAAAGATTTTTATCAGGAATTCACCTGAAAAATCAAATCCGGGATCTCCGTAATATCATTCGATTAGTAATATCGAAAACAAATACTCTTACGCTCGTGATGACACAAAACAGTGTGGCGGTAACTAAAACTATTTGCACAACACGTAGAGCGAACCATTAATAAGAATGAGCTTGCTTTGCTTGTTATGAACGCTGCAGTATCATTGAGTAGTGTAAATGAGACATATTGCTCATCAATTTACTTTTATGAGGATAACGGTTCCATTTAATTCGAAATTTGATTTTGATGGCATATGTTACCATGCTTGACCGTATAATACAATACAAAGGATAACTCGAGAACATCGTGCTTGCTGTGTTTAGCAATCACTAGACACAGGATTGAATTGGTTTAGCATTTAACTGTCTAAAAAATTCGAATACAATCATTCATCCTGCACTTAATTCATTTTAGCAGGTTCCCCCTCCAGAAAGAGACCGTTAATGAGACTTGATGGTTTCCTGAGTATTACTGTCATAAGGTTCTCAACATAAGATCAACTCTGTCCATCTTGGACTCGAACCCTGGATCATAGTGACATATAATTTCAATGGAAAATTCCATGTTGAATATTTACAACGGGCATAATTTGCTGGTAAATGCTCAGTAATGAAAAAAAGTTGTAATTCTATTATAAGATACACGCATGTATTAATTCTAAATACATGTATATGTTCAAATTAGGCTCAACCCAGGCCCTAGATCGTGGACTCTGGACAAAATATTGAATAAAGGGCTGGTTGTTCGTGCAAACCGTGCGATTTCTACGAGGTTCATTCAAAACGAATACGTAGAGTTTTGTCGTATTTTTTTAATTTAACGTAATATGATGACTAAATTTGGAAGAAATATTTCAACAATAAATCCGATTTCTTTGAATGAAAAAATTTAAATATGAAAAATACAAAAATTTAAATATATCATTTTATATTTCAAAATTATTTGAAATAGATAAAACTGCAAAAATGGGGGTACATAGCGAACAAAATTTAGAAATGTAATTACACTTTAAAATACCTGTTTTCATATCTATTGAAAATGTCTTTAAAACAAAATAAAATTTAAACATTGAAATTGAATTTAGTTACATCATTTCATATGCCAAATTTTGATGTTGCATATCTCTCTACTGACCAAACGTCAATTGCAGAAGACGAATAGTCCTCATTGAAAGGGTCAAGAAGATGATATACTCAATTAATTATTAGCGAACTATTATCCTTCATGGTATAGCAACTTTTTTTTATTAATGGGTACAAACTGCATGTGAAATGAAGAGAAGGAGTAAATTTTTAGAAATTGTCCTGACGTTATGTTTCTGACGCTACGTTGATAAGAGAAGGCTAGTTGTGGTGTCAAAATATATTGATTTTAAAATATTGTAAAACGAGTTCCATTTGATAAAATAAAATGAAGCTGCACACATCCCATATCTTCTACTTCAAAATGTTCTGTAAAAAACTGCAAAGCCTGTGACGTTTTGACACGTTGTTATTAACACTTCTTACTAGACAGAGCTTCTATACCAAACTTGGAAAAATCTAGCTGAACTACAAGTCTTTTAATGTTGTCCAAGGAATAGAATGTAATCTTTGTGGACTTATTTATGTTGGTGAAACCAAGGATTCACTTAATAAAAGAATATCAGGGCATAGATTTCATCTGTCAATGCTACTTAGTAATAAGGTTCAAGTTTACTGTAAGAAAGACGTAAAAGATGCTACAAAATGTTGCAAATGTCTTCATTTATACCACTTTTACTGCTCGGTTACTATGGAGACAAAGTTGTATTCTTGATGGCATGCAATCAAATAATCAATTTTATGATGAAATATGAAGATGACAATGTCTAATCAAGCTCAAAAGTCCATTAGAACAATACAAATTGGGAGCTGAGCAAACACGGAGCTCTAAAATCATCAGAAGTGAGATCAGGTGCCACGGAGGAGTAAATATCCCCTGTCGACAGATCACACCCACCGTGTCTCCTTGTCATGATCGAGTAAACGGAAAAATCCATGGACAATTCAGTGTGGAAATAACGGCCTAACAATTTGGATGAGAAACGTTCAATATTCGATTTAATGATTAGATAGTATTTGCTGACAAGGTCATTGTATCATCCATAGAATTTGAGAAATGTTGACTTTAAAATAGACTGTTGATATCCTTGTATCATCAACTAATTTGTCAACACCTTGCCTCGTTTTAGAAATCGTTCGTGCGTAAAATATGCACTCCATAGGCAGGTGATAAAGGTATATTTCAACATAAACAAGGAAGTCATCACGTTTATCATAAAGTTTTAGTTAATCATAAAGTTAGTTTGTGTCTTTCTCTAGTAAGATATCCAAATATAAAACAGATGTGTAGAATAAACATAGGAATGCATATATATATTCTTAATTGATAAAATGTCGATATACATGTACATGTATCTAAATGTCGAATTGGTAGGCCACAGCAAACATTCTTTTCATATGGAAGTATTTGAATAAATTCTGCTTCATATGAATACAAAAACATTTTTTGCTAATAAAGGGGTGTAATTAATACCCATGGAAATTCAGATTGTTGGAAGACTTGGTCTCCAAA